AATCCAGGGCCTTGTCCATGCTAAACACATACCCACAGCCCAGCCCCAGAAGTTAGATTTAGGATATTACACAGGCACAAACTCCAGGGATTTCTTCACTGAACAGCATAGCAGTAGTACTTACCTGTCTGAATACACATACTAAGCAGGAGATGAACTGAGTAAGAAGCCACAAGAGCGACTATCAGCAGCAAGAAACTAAAATATAAAAGAACACATCGTCAAATCCTTCTGGTACTGGGGGTTGAACCCATGAAGCATTGTATCACTAAGCTATACCCCAGCCCTTTTCATTTTTAGACAGGGTCTTGTTCAATTGTCCAGACTGGCCTCAAGTTTTTGATCCTCCAGCCTCAGCCTCCCAAGCAACTGGGATTATGGGTGTGTGCAACTACACCCAGCAAAGTTTGTCTTTTTCATGGCACCTCATTACCAAACAAGTATCTTTGCATTTAAGTGTTCACAGGCATGACCTCTGAGGGCTAGAATCCTGGTTGTTTAAAAAAAAAAAAAAAAAAAATCAAGGTAATTTTCTTTCTTTTACATCAAACAAATTTTATTTAAATGAAAATATACTGGTTTCAAAATAAAACATGAAATCAGAAAGACAAACATTTTAAAAATACAGTATAAACAAACTTCCTCATTCTGCATTTCTGTCTGCTGACTGCTGATTCAGCCACTCCGCAATCCTGGCAGTTCCCTTTTATGATTATTTCTTTTTTTGTTTTCTAAGTCTAGCTCTAAGTTTTAGTTATGGAAGTTCAGTTTTCTGTTTGCCTTTCCGTCTCCCATGCCTGTGATACGGACCTCTTTACTATTTCTTCACTGTGAATATCAGTACTGTATTTCCCAGTGTTTATTTAACACACATTCACTCTCTAAACCAAACTAAAGCAATGGAATAAATACACTTCCAGTGATATAATCCAAAAACTGTGGGAACAATGTAATGACTTGGGTTCTCCTATCAACATTGTGAAAAGAAATAGCACGCATAATTCTCTACTTCTTCTTAGGAAGATACTGGTATGACAAGGTTTCAGCAATAGAGCTGTCCCCAGGGAATTATCCCACTATTTAAAGAAACCCTAACTTTGTGGCCAACTTAATTCTCATTAATAAGCAGAAAAGTTGGGAGGTGAAGGTGCACCTATAATTAAACTGACATCTAGAGACCTCAAAAAATGACAGTGTAATGTCACCAAAAGGGACATGTGTTACGATGTAGTGAGCTCATATTCAGCAGTATCATCTACACGTAAGACTACCGTATAAAATGCCAATTTTTAAAGAGAACCAAAAGGTTAATCCTCTGAATGTGGCTTCCCTGAGATGTTGAATATAGTTTTCAAGTTCAAAAACTATGAAAGTTTGTCAACACAGCTCACAGTAAAAGCAAGTTGGTTACTAAAAAGCGGATTTGCCTATCAAGAGACTTGGGATAAAAGCAAGAAGAAACCCCAAGTCAGAGTCTGTGTATTTTAAATTTCCCAGTTAAAAAGTCTGCTTCTACTGGCAAAACAAACAAAATGAACTTATTCATTCATCTGTTAGCCATGGTGCCAGATGCTGAGGATAAGGTCCAGTCCGAAGGGATTTCAGAGTTTAGGAAGGAGATTAACTTGCAAATAAATCACAGTGTCAAATTATAATAATGAAATGAGTATACGAAGTACTATGGGAGTAGAGAGAAGCCAGGGAAATTTTCTATTCTGGACTAAGTAGTCTATGGGGCAAGACTTAAAGATGAAAACGAACAGGTATAAAACGTGTGTCTGGACTCAGAAAGTGAAACGAGACTACTTAATGACAGGGAAAGGCGATGGAGAGATGAAAAGATTATGTACTTTATTTGAACTGAAAAATTGTTATTAATCAGTAACCCACATGGCTGACAAGTTTTGATTCACTTTGGCCAATTCCACACAAATGCAGAAGCTGAATAATCCAGTTTTTATGGATATAAAGTAAATTCTATTTTTAAAAATTAGCGAAGTTTTGGTTTAAAAAAATACAGCCATGTACTGCATAATGACATTTTGGTCAACAATGGATCGTTGGTGGGCCAATGAGATTATAACAGAGCTGGAAAATTCCTATCACCAAAGGAATCACAGCTGTCCTAACACCATGGTGCAGCACAGCACAAACATGGTATGGCAGTACTGATTAAACAAACCTACTGGGCTACTAGTCATATAAAAGTAGAGTACACACTATTATCCACAGTATCAAATACTTGATAGTGACAATAAATGACTGTGCTTCTAGTTTATGTGTTTCCTATTTATCATTATTTTAGAATACTTTCCAATTATGAAAAAAAGTTAACTATAAAGCAGCCTCACACAAGCCATTTAGAGAGGTATTCCAGAAGAAGGCACTGGGGTTTGAACCCAGGGCCTCTTCACAGAGCTACATCCATGCCCCTTATAAAAAATATTTTTAAAATTTTGAGATAAAGTCTGGCTAAGTCACTAAGTTGCCCAGGCTGGACTAAAACTTGCCATCCTCCAGTCTTAGCTTTGCAGCGTGCTGGGATTCCAGGTGTCGCCCACCAGGCCCAGTGGAAGAAGGCATTGTTATCACAAGAGGTGACAGTGTAATATATGCTACTGTCCCCGAAGACCTTTCAGTGAAACAGACCTTCCAGTAAAAGAGGACAGCAGGAATGGAAGACAGTGACCTGACCCTGTGTAATCCTAGGTAATGTATGTTTTGTTTTCAATAAAAGGTTTAAAATATAAAAGAATGTAAATAAAGAAAGCTTATAGAATAAGGATATAAAGAAAATATTTCTGTATAGGTATGCAATGTGCTTGTTTTACGCTAGTGCTATTATAAGAGTCAAAAAGTTTAAAAAATTAAAATGTTTATAAAATTAAAAGTAAATAAAGTTTGTAAAAAATTACAGTAAATGAAGGTTAATTTATTATTGAAGACACTTTTTATAAGTGTGGGATAGCCTGAATGTGCGATCTTTATAAAGTCCAGTGTAGCACCCTAGACCTTGACACTCATTCATCATTCACTGACTTTCTAATCCTGCAAGCTCCGTCATGGTAAGTGCTTTATACAGGTGTACAACTGTTACTACTGTATTTTCACTATATCTTTTCTACATTTAAAATATGTTTAGATACACAAATCCCACTGTGTTACAACTGCATATAGGATTCAGTACCTTAACATGCTGCTACAGGTTTGTTACCTGGAGCAACAGGCTGTATGACATACCTAAGGTGTGTGACAGGCAATGCCATTTAGGTAAGAACAACAAAACCACCTAACAAGGCATTTCTGAGAACATACCCTCTCTTTCAGCGATGCTTAACTATCAATAGCATCCCCTGAAGTTGCAATGAAAAAAAAAAGTTTTAACTTCAGAAATCCCCTAACTAGAAATTGTGTAACGGTAGCTTATGGAACCTATTCCTTTGATTTCAATATACAATTAAAACCAAAAAAAAAAGGGAGGTGGTAAAATATGGAAAAAAAACTCACCTAAATCCAAGGATACCAGTATTAGCCATAACATAAGCTAGGCCAAGGATACCACTTCCCATGATGGCATTCATCAAATTAAAGACTGAAAAACCAAACGAAACTCCTGAAGATCCCTGTCTATGAAGTTCCTGTAAGTATACAAATTTAACAGGGTTAAATTTCTGAATGATCACGTTCAAATTTCATTTAAAAATCACTGAATGGTCACGGAGAACATCTGCAAATCACCAGGCTTTTCGCGAAAACACTTTTCTTTCCCTTCCACCTCCTAACTGGTGTCCCAGGAATCCAGAGCTCCCAGGGAATGTCATGTCCGCCAGTACTGAGGCCAGGTAGTCTTCAGGAGGAGCCATGCTTAATCTCAGGAATGCAAGAGATGAAGATAGCACAGGAATGGGGTGGACGCCCACAGAAGGGACACGGCCTCAGCTCATGTGATTTCTGAAGAATCCCTGAGTCAGCTTAGAAGTGCTGTCTCCAACTCTTCCTTCCTGATTACTAGGACTGCAAACTTAGTCCTTATTATATAATTAATAAACCCGCCCCACTGTAGGAATGGTGAGGGCTACCTGCAGTGACAATGTAACAGAAGCAATTCCCGTTGCTTTCGCAAATATATCCCTGTAAACTCCTCACCCCAAACAGCAGCTGGAAACAAAACTACAGACTCCTACAGGGCAAGGATTCCAGGTAGAAAGCGGAGCGCCCGGGGCGCCGGGCTGGGGACACAGCTCAGCCGCAGACGCTCGCCCGGACCCGGAGCACAGGTGGGGTCCGCAGCAAGTTTAACCCGAGCTTGGTGCTTAGTACCCGGCCGCCTACCCTCCTCTTCCACTAGGGATGCCTGTACTAAGACGTCTATGGCCAGCCGATGACTCAGGGGAGAAAAGAAACATCTCGGCACGCTCGCAAAGACCTCCCAGGCATAGAGGACGAACCGAAGCGCTAGCACACAGCGGGGAGACCCTCCATCAGGGTTGCACCCTTGCTCAAGCCTTTTTCTGCACAGCGTGCGAGGCCACCGTCCCAAGCCTGGCTCGCCCGCCCTCTTCGGAATGTCGGGTGCTGCCCGAGGGACCCCTCCCCGGGACTTAGACTCCAGCCCTTCCCCTTTCTCGCGTCACATCTCGCCAGCTTTGGAGGGCGCCGGGGGGCGTCAGCGCCTGGAAGGGCAGCCAGCGGAGCCCACTTACGTTGCCTAGCAACGGGCGCAGCTCCGCCGCCGCCGACTCTTCCGGCTGCTGGGCCGAGACGTACCAGCCCCGCTCCGCGCTGCTGCTCCCCCAGGACGCCTCCATGCTGCTCCTTTGCTGACCACCAGGTCCATGTGCGAACCTCGACTCTGGCCCTCCGCTCGAACTGTTCCTCGTGCAGAGGTGGAGCTATGGGCCGGCCCTTCCGAGTACTCCTACCTCACCGGGCGGGGAAGAGCCGAGGGAATCGTCGAGGTCTGATGACGCGAGCTCCCTCCGCGGCGCGCAGTGATGACGGCGCCGCGCGCCACACCACCTGGCCTCCATGTCCGAGCCGCATCCGAGCGTGAGGTGAGGGGTCTGGTCGCCAAGCCAGCTGGGGAGCGGCGCCCTGACTTGGCAAGGCGGAGCTGGTGAGGTGACGGCCCGGTGCAGAGGGCCCACGGGTCCGAGGCGGTGCCGGTGTGCCGGGGTTGCTCTGTCGTCTCCCCCCCGTGTGCAGAGCTGAGGTCCGGAACTGGGCAGGGAGGCCTTTCGATGCACGTTTTACAGATAAGAAGCAGACTCAGATTCGCGTGCTCAACACGGGGTCGCCCGGCTCGTTCGGGTTAGGCCGGTTGGAGCCCCGAGTGTGAACTTTGACCTCGTTGCTGTGCAGAGACTGGTGCAGCGCCTTTCGCCCGGTAATCGCCTAGTAGGTACTTTGGAAGACAGAGGAAGTAACAGATGCTGTGCTGAAAAGACAGCAAAACCTCTTCTGAAAACGCGAAAGCCTCTGGTTGTAGGCAGGACCCGTGGCAGGAAAGCATCCGAGACACACAACTTGGCAGTATCCGCTGTTAAGAACACACGGAGGCCAGCCTTGCTTGGGTTTTAAATTCCTGCCTAACCACTTCCCTACAGTGGGGCTGTGCGAGTTAACTTGTTTGGGGTCTTCGTTGACAGAGCTCGGTTACAAAAGGACTGTGCCACTACCCGACTCTGATAGAACAGCATGTGCTACAGTAAGCACCCGTAAGCATAGGAGTACCTAGTGAACATCGCCTTTGGTAATGTTAGATATGCTGACTGCTTCATTGGTAGATGATTCTTTAATTCACATGCCAGTCCTCCAGTCATAATTGCATTCTATAAAAAATTGTAGGTAAGAAGGTCAGTGAGTACAGCCGGGTGGGTGGATCACTAATTCCTCTGTCCGGGCAGCAGGTAGGCAGAAGCTGCAAATAATAAAAGTCCTCCTATCCTGGAAAAGATAGTGTTCTGCCCCCACACCATTAAAAGTTTTGTTTAGCAGGTTATTTGAAACAGGTTAGATTTTTATTCTCAAAAGCCGTTGTGAACATGTGCCTTTGTAAATTTATGGTATTTTTTAAATGAATTTTTTTTCTTTTAAAGAATCTTATGGAGGCCATCGGGATTCTCAAGACTTTTCAAAGTAGAACGCCTTAACCCAACTGAGTTCAATGTGGATCCCACTAGCATGGACAAGGCTTACACAGAAGCTTAGAAAAGCACCTGGTATTTTCTTATTAGGTCAAAGAGAAAGATACTCAACCATGTCAGAAGTGGAAGCAAATAAGAGCAGCTCTGAACTGTTTTCACCACCCTCTGATGTTCGAGGAATGACAGAACTTGATAGGACAGCTTTTAAAAAGACAGTCACCATCCCAGTGCTTAAAGTGAGGAAAGAAATAGCCAACAAATTGTTGCGATCCCTTAAAAGGGCAGCACTACAACGACCAGGCATAAAACGTGTAATTGAAGATCCAGAAGATGAAGAATGTAGATTAATTATGTTGGATCCCTATAAAATACTTACTTATAATTCCTTTGAAAAAGCAGAACTCAGTATTTTAAGTCAACTTAATGTCAGTCCACAGATATCTAAATATAATTTGGAGCTAACTTATGAAAACTTTAGGTCAGAAGAGATCTTGGGAGCTGTGCTTCCTGAAGGTCAAGATGTGATTTCAGGGTTTAGCAGAGTAGGACATATTGTACACCTGAACCTTCGAGATCATCAGCTACCGTTCAAGCATTTAATTGGTAGGTGTGTTATGGTAATGTTCATGCACTAGAAAGCAATTGGCAAATTCTAATTTTTTGTTTTGAAACACTACAGAGGGCCAGTTTATCATTGTAATTTTAAGCCAATTTTGAGTTGCGTGCCCTCTTTTGAGGGCCAATTTGGTGTACTCTTTTCAGAGCATAGCAACTCTAAATATTGGTCTAGGCTTTTGTGTACACGAGTACAAAAGTGTTCTACACAGAACAGAATTTGTTTCAGTGTGCAAGACTATGAGGCCTTTGGGACAGTGTTTAGTACTTGGTTCTATAAATACAGGGTTTTCATAGACAAAAGGACAAGTGTTTACTTACTCTTTTATTGAGTCAACATTAACTAAGCCTCTTCTCTATATGTTAAGCACCATACATTGTTTCTTAGAGGTTCTAGCCTTACAATGCTTACTGTTAATGTCCTGCCTCTCTCTATCCGAGTTTAAACTGGACTTACTTCTTTAGGATAAGAAAGGCCTTAATTCATTAGAATAAGAAAGAAGTAAAGGAATAATCAAAATTACATTTATACTTATATAAATATTTGATGTCCATATGCTCTCTAAAGTCTCTTAAAAATAGAAGTTTTCAGAACTTCTGGGAATTATTTTCAGCTTTAGTATTCAGTGCGTGCTTTGCATGAGTAGGATTTTAGAAGTGTGCTGTTAGGCATTAACTTTGTTTTTATTGATGAGAGGGATTGATAATGTACAATGGTAGTATAAGAAATACTTGAGCAGATCCTTATAATTGTTGACTGGGTACAGATGTCAGGTGTAGGCTTTCCTAGTTACTGCCTACCTTAACTCAAACATTCCTTTGGCATGCCTGTTGTTTAAAACTCATAAAGGGGCACTCCAAGGTTAAAAATAAAGAATTCCCACACGGTAATGATTTTAAAGCTTTTACTATAGAACTTCAGAATTGCTTATTTTTAAAATTCATTCCTCATTTAAAATTCACTTCTATACCTTAAAAATTGAATCCAGATATCTGAAGCAAACAGGAAGAGCAATGATTGATTAGAATGCATTGATATTATCATATGCAAAATCAGGTGTCTAAGTAACAGAATAAAGGTGAAGTTCTGGTTGTATTTCAGCATATTTGTATTGTTTTGTCCATTTTACTAAGTTACAAATTGTTCTTTTTTATGCAGTGAGATAATATATAGATTTTTATAAATTTCTAAAGTGCTGACAAAAAATAGACTGTTAAAGGGCATCACTGATATGCATTTCTGACGTATTTTACTATTTTTGTAGCTTTTCTGCTGTTATGAATATTTGATGAAAAGAGCATTTTATTTATATCGGATTCTAAAGAATCAATGTTTCTTTTGTTGGAAACCCTGTTTTGCTTACATACATTTCCAAAGTGGAGGCATTTGTTCAAGCCCACAGTAAAACAGACATTTGGTTTGAGGCCCATGGGGATAGGCAGATGTTTTTGCTGATGTTTTCTGAGACCATTTGTTGCCCAGATCGTCACGTCTCCTTTTCATTCTTTCCCACTTCCCGGTGGTCTAACTGTTGCTTACTTGTATTAGTACACTTGAGATTTAGTAAAAATGTGGACAACAGCGAGACCCTGTCTCAAAAAAAAAATATGGACAAATATTAGGTACAGCCTAATACCTCAAAAATTTTTTCTTTAAAAGTGCACCCATTTTGTGTGTATTTGTAACTGTCAGAAATTAATCTTAGGATCCTGTTCAACTCTAGAGTTGTATGCAGCATTGCACACACTAGGTAGGGTAGTTTTAAATATGTGAACCAAAAGAAAATACAACTTATTTCTGTTAAATATTTTCAGTTTTAGCATTTACTTTGTAACTAATAAGCAATATTTACTATTAATTTTCATCTTTTAGGCCAAGTTATGATTGACAAAAATCCAGGAATCACTTCAGCAGTAAATAAAGTCAATAATATTGACAATACATACCGAAATTTTGAAATGGAAGTGCTATCTGGAGAAAAGAACATGATGACCAAGGTACAGAATATTTTATTATCTCCTGCTGGATGTATATCAAGATTAGCGCTTAGAATCAAAATAGATGAAAAAATTAAAAATATTTCTAACACCTAATATTGATGAGTATGTAACAGTATGAGGACTTACATATTGTTGGTGGGATAATGTTGACAGTAAAGCCTTCTCAGAATTGGTTGAATTCTGACATAAGGATGCAGTGGGTTATCATAAAAGTTTTTTAGTTCCATAGTTCTTTAAGTAAATTGCTGACTGACAGGGAAGGTACAAAAAAGCAAGTTGTAAAATATGTAGTTCTTAAGACATTTAAGCCTTCCTAGTTATACCTGGAAAGACTTTCAGTTGGCACATCTTTCAGAAACATTTTCCATTCTGGAACCTGCCTAATTTTGCAAGAGCATCTGCTGTGGTTTGGAAGAGAGAAAAAAAAGTCCACATAAATTTACAGGTAACGTCCAGGAAAGCAGGGGATAAAGGATATATCTCTATCCGATTTATATCAGTTTGGAACTTTCTGGTCTTTAGTTCTTTGATCATAAAATATTGACCTTACAGTGATGGCTGAGGTCATATCCTCATAACTATAATTTTAGTTTTATTTTTGATGTTCTACCGTGTCTATGATGGACCTGAAAGAAATGGTACAAAAGTCTTACTTACTTTTGGTCACGGTTTAGCTTCAGTGTATGTATTTAGTTTACCCATGAAAACTAAAATATGGGAATGACTCATTCTGTATACTTGGTATAATTTATAGGTTGGAAATTTGCAAAGTTTAAGTAAAGACTTAGCAAAATATGTATCTCAAAATTATGCCTTTTACTAACGAAAAGCTAAAAAGAGGGAAGCGCATTTGCTATGTGGAAGTGTTATCAGCAACTTACCTATATACTGTGAAGATACATATTGTGTGTTGTTTCAAATTATATGGTTTTTCCTTGCCTGGTGACCGAACAAAATAATTAAGCCAGTCAGTTGATCTTCCTGAAAAATTCCTTGTGTGATTTGGAAACAACTTTATGGCCTTTTAGAAATGAGGTAGAGAGCTGTTCAGCTTTAAAGAGATGACTTTTCTTATGAACAAGTGTGACACAAGATACTAACTGGCCCCAGAAATAGCATAAACACCAAGATTCTGGTAATTAAAATGCCTTTAAATCCACTGTTATTTGCTCTGGTAGCAGTAAAGTTAAATGTGTGCCAGTATGTGTGTACACATACCTATCTAGTATCAGTGGCTGAAATTTAGTATCAAGCAGAATAACCAAAACCATACCTTTTCAGGTTCGAGAAAACAACTACACTTATGAATTTGATTTTTCAAAAGTATATTGGAATCCTCGCCTCTCTACAGAACATAGCCGTATCACAGACCTTCTCCAACCTGGGGATGTTCTGTTTGATGTTTTTGCTGGGGTTGGGCCCTTTACCATTCCAGCAGCAAAGAAAAACTGCACTGTGTTTGCCAATGATCTCAATCCTGAATCCCACAAATGGCTGTTGCACAATTGTAAATTAAATAAAGTGGGACAAAAGGTGAAAGTCTTCAACTTGGATGGAAAAGATTTCCTCCAAGGACCAGTCAAGGAAGAGTTACAGCAGCAGCTGGAACTGTCAGAAGAAAGAAAACCCTCTGTCCACATTGTCATGAATCTGCCAGCAAAGGCTATAGAGTTTCTCAGTGCTTTCAGATCACTTTTAGATGGGCAGCCATGCAGCAGTGAACGCCTTCCCAGAGTGCACTGTTACAGTTTCTCCAAAGATGCTAATCCTGTTGAGGATGTTCGGCAACGCGCTGGAGCTGCGTTAGGCATTTCCCTGGAGGCGTCCAATTCAGTTCACCTAGTAAGAAACGTGGCCCCTAACAAAGTAATGCTATGCATCACCTTTCAGATCCCAGCTGCTGTACTCTATAAGAACCAGACCATCAATCTAGGTGAGCAATTCATGGTGAATTATATGTAAAGTATAATACTTTTCAGATTTCTTTGGGATTATTAAATTTATGATAAGGAGATTAGACTAATTCTAGTTATTTTGGTTTAAGATCCATGGCCATTCAATCTGACTTGTTTCTCAAAATTTTAGTATGGGACATGATTCAATCTAAAATAGGAGAGTCTTTCATTAACCTGATAAATCCACAGAAATGTTATTTCATGTCAAGTTTGACTATATTAAAAAATCTTTAAAATGTCTATATGTTTTTAAAGTACATTTAACTGTTAAATACCTTATCTCAAATAGGTTTTCCGTATTTGTTACAGAGAATGACGAAGAGCCACCTGTTAAACGGCAGAGGACAGATAATGGCTTTTTAGAAGAAAAAACAGAAACTGCTCCAGGCACTTAACTGGAAATGTTTTCTCCATCTTACCACTGTACTGTTATGTAGTGAAATATAATGTGTGTATTTCATAAAAATTTAATACTGAACTCTTAGTATTTTTCCCTGCTATCTTACCATTAGCAAATTAAAGTTTGGCTGAAGACTGTTTTTATCTAAATCATGTATAACTATACATGTAACTAATATGTGTAACCATATTAGTTAGTTTTCCCATTGCTGAGACAAATTAAGGCACCCTCGACTTAAAGAAAGGCTAATTTAGCTCATGTCTTCAGGAGGTTCAGTACATAGTTGGCAGGCTCCAAGGCAGAAACATGAAGCACACAGGCATGAGAGCAAATCTGTTTAGTCGTAGTGGCCAGGAAACAGCAGGGAAACACTGCCTGAGAGAAATGGGCTGGGGACCATAAGAAGTGCCCAAGGCCAGGCCTCCATACACCCAAACATACCCAGGAACATGCTTTACTAATAAGGCATTCTTAATCCAAGGAAGTTGATGAATCGGGATTAATGGTCACAATAATTATTTCATAATCTAAACTATAGGTTTTATTAGATACATATGTTTAATGGTGCATGCATGTAATCCCAGTGATTTGTGAAGTTCAGGGAGGAGGACTGTGAGTTTGAGGCCTAGGCAGGGAACATGACAAGATTCTGTCTCAAAAAAACCGAAAAGGATAAATATGGTTAAATATTGTTGGTCTCTTGAAAGAATAGTTGAAGGTAGGGTAATTGTGTGCTGTTACCATAGCAAACCACTAACACTATTTTATGTGATCATTTATTAAAGAGTGTAGTAATTTCTTATAACTACTCCTATACTACCAATTACTATGTGAAGGTAATAAAAAATGAATTACTTAGATCATAGAGAGGTGGACTACATCCTGCAGGCTAACTCTGGCCCACCATCTGTTTGTATGGCCTGAGATCTGAGAACATTCTTGCATGTTAAAATGGTTGGAAAAATATCAAAATATTTTGACACATGTGAAAACTGACATGTGTCAGAGCGTTAAAAAGAAAGTAAAGAGGTAGGGTATAAAAGGAAGAAGAAAAGGGAAGGGAAGAAGCAAAGGGAAGGAAGGAAAAAGTATCCAGGAAAATAAACTGAAGAGTATTAGACTTTTCCAAGAACAGTTACTCAGAGTTAAGGACAGTCGAAGCAGTATCAGTAGTCAATTAAAAAGGCAAATCTGAGTAGCTTTTGCCTCTTAATGGGTCAACAGATGTTACTAATACTGCTTAGTTTTATTTGAGGTGTTACTGCCATGCTTAAGTGACAACTGAACTAGCTTCTATGAATATTTTCAAAGAGTTGGTAAAATACGAGTTCTGTGCAGCGTAAAGTGGAATCTCCTAAAATTATAACTGACAATGGTTAAAAAAACAGAAAAAGTCTTAATTGAACAAATTTATTAAGTGAAAATGTCAAGGGTTAAAAGCCTATAGCTTATCCACTACATTATTCATCAGCAAGTCCAATGTGGAAAATTCTGAACCAGTAGTATCAGGGGTAAACTTTATTTGCTTTCACAGCGAACCACTTCTAATTCTTTTGAGTTTTATCAGTAATTAAAAGTGGATATTCTAATCTGCCCTACCTCAGTTTTATTTGCTTATTAACATTTTGGCATTTTTTGAGTTTAAAAGACAAGATTTAAATTTTTCTTAAGAACCACCCAAACACAATTTTGGAACAGTGACTGACTGGAAATTAGATTTTGTTGAAGACCTGGTAATATTTCTTAAAGAATACAAGCTAAGATTGAAACAACTTTAATGTGAAATATACTGTAGTAAAACTGACATTTGGATTCCAGTATCTTACTCTATACATCTTTCTTGCTATTCAAAAATTAAATGTTTCCATCCTCCCAAATTAATGGGTATATTATTAAGGGCAGCATTGTGAGAGTCCTTGGTGCAAGACGAAAAAAATCTTCCCCATTTCAAAATCTAACTGCAGTTGAGTTTCTAGCTAATCTTCAACTGGAAGTGAGTAATGACACTTAAAAGGCAGATATCAAGGCAAGACTTTGTTTTACAGACTCCTTCCAAATGATGAACACGTCGTGTATACTCACAGGTCAATGATGGCGAACATTTTAGGGCCTTCAGTGATACAAATAGCACTGTGCAGCACATGTCCATAGGTTCACCATCACTGTCTTAAATTGAAAAACATCTAACAGTACATGTTAATGTACTGTGAAGGTAATAAAGACATTTTTCTAAAATGTAAAATCTCATTGACAAATAACCATTAACAGGTGATTCTTTGCAGGTGACCTTGGTGATAGGTCACAACTACATCTCCAATTAAAGGCAATGTGATTCCTCTCCAAAAAGGAATTACAAAAAAACTGTATTTCATTATATTTTGAATTTTTTAAAAAGAAAAAAAACCCTAACTATTTAGATCCTAAGTACCTATATAAGGTCTTTGATTTGCCTCTTAGCCTGAAAATCCTTAAGAATTTACTCTAGTCCTACCCAACAAAGATTGAGAACCCCTGATCTCAGTCATTAATCACAAACTCAAAATACCTATCTTCAGAAGCCTGGCAGCTGATGTAAATAAGTGGCATCAGATGTAGGGAAGTAATGAGTTAGAGCCCCTGTTGTCTAGAAACATTTAAACTCTTTTGAAACTCAAATACTGTACAGTAATGTGCTGGGTCATGGTTTATATTATAAATAATGTTCTTATATGTGTAAAGTGGAAAGACTCGCTTCCATGCAGGCATCCTTTAATTAGAGAACATACTCTATACATAAAATAGAATACTTAAGTGCTTCAGTTAATATTTAGCCCTTTCCCTTCTCACCCCGGGTAAGTGAGCATATAATTACTTCACTGTTTAAATCTAGGCCCACCTAAACTTTTATATATGATATGTACAAATGAACTCTTGATTAATCCACTAGAAAATGTTACCTAGAAAGCTGATTAGATACAATTTTTTAATTCTCTTTTTTGACAGTTTTCTGCCACCTTAATTTTAAAATTATTTTCTGATAACCTAGTGACTGTCAAAGGCAGCTTCTAAGAGAAGCTCTGAGATGACATATGATTGGAATCAAGGAATACTAAACAATAATTCATCCTGTTATGTAAGTGTATTCCATAGCATTAATATCTGCTTGAGAGGAGTACAGGCATTAGGAAAAGCATTTTCCACATAATGCATTTCTCAGAACTTCTCTCAGGAAATCAACATATCCTTGAGTTGATGTTATTTATGCTCCATAAAAGATCTAGATACTTGCTCTGTAAAATTTCCTGAAAGTCATAAAGTTGGACTACCTAGATCTGGTTTTAGTGTAGCTGTTCTTAAGTCTGTTTGGCAGTCATCTCTGGCATGGAATGTGGAGCCTGAACCCTTGGATTCAAATCCCAGCTCTGCTATTTTTAAACTGCATTGACTCCTGGAAAGTTACATACTCAACCTCTGCTTCTCAATCTGTTAAAGTAGGGAAAATAACAGCAGTACTGTTGTAAGGATAAGAATAATAGGGCTGGGGATTTAGCTCAGCGGCAAAAGCGCCTGCCTGGCAAGCGCAAGGTCGTGAGTTCGGTTCCTGGTACCGGAGAAAAAACAAAAACAACAACAACAACAAAAAAGAATAATACACAAAGCATGAATCAAGTGCCTGGCGCATAGGTAAACAGTCGTTGTTAAATATTCTTTCTGAACTAGTGTTATAAGATGTTAAGACTTGATCGTGTAGATGAAAAACTGGTATAGTTTTTGTCACTTAGAGGGTGGGAAATAAGCACATCAACTAAGAATATTTCTGTTGTCATTCGGTACTCTCATTTCATTCAATATATTAGCATTCACATAACAGTTCTACAGTGAATTCAAAGTAAGTACTGAAAGCCTTCAAAACATAAAGTTCATTTTCTTTAAATACATTATTTTTGCAGTTGAACATTGCAAAGCCTCAACTGTAAGTTCAACATTCTCACTATTTGAACAGATTTATACATTGTATTTAAAAATTTAAATCCTCAATTGAGGAATACTTAGATTTTAAGGAAGAAGATTTGCATCCTGGTAGAGTATACCTAGAACTGGACTTAGATTAAAAACAAATCTGTGTTCTAATTCTGGTGTTTTACTAACTTGTGTGTAGGACTGTGGTCTAGTCAATTATTCAGTGCCTTGGTTTTCCCATTTAACAAAGAAATGTAAAGATGAAGATGTACTCCTAAATGTCATCTTTATTTAATAAAATAAGATGGAATTTGTTACATGTGGCTATTCCAACATAACATAACCGTTACAAGTCATGGTTGACTCAACTTTCCACCTATAAAAACCAACATCTGTTGTGATGGAAATTAAAGTCCTTTAATTTGCTTGAGAAACTGTGTCCCATATCCAGTAACCTATGTAAAAACTCATACAAACCTGGGATACTACAAATATATGCAGCCTATCCACATCCAAACTCTAAGCAAAACCCTGGGTATAATAAAAGTCTTTGAAGTTTCAAAGGAATACTACATCAGAGTCTACAACTTACTTCACATAGGGATATGTCACTTAAAATGTACCTTTTCCAGTCTCCAACATTTCATCATAAAATGAGCTCACACTGGAGGTGAAAGGTGCCATTTAAGTATTAAATTTTATTAACTTGCTTCTTTGAATTTGTCAATAAAGCAGGTTAATGCTGTGCTCTGGTTTATCCTGCATTTGCCTCACAGCTGGGAACCATAACACCTTGATCAAGGTTTGCCTCACTTCCCACTGCTCAAAGCTGGCACCAAGTTCTTAAAATTGAGAGAGTGACATTATCACAAGTCAGGTTTTACTTGCCACAACCTGCTGGTAGAAGGGAATATATCCACTTTTCTGGACTAGTTTTCAGAAGACATTAGGAAAAAAGAAGTTTTATGAGAAGAAATAATAGAGCTGGATATTAACACTAAATGTTGTAATCAAAATGGCATTTTAAAATGTGTTCAAGTAAAACACTGTAATAAGAGAAAAACCACAAAACGTACTATAAAGTCTAGCTTTATTTTAAAAAAGATTTTACAAGTCTGTCAACCTTAAACATACATAGATGGATTATTTATTCTTCTCTTCCATCAGATTAGGCTCACTGCTTCAATCTGGCTCAGGAAAGATATAAGTAAAAAATAAATCTTTTTCACAAACATATATCCCCTATATTTTTCATCTTAGTTCTGAAATTTTCTCTGTATAAATACATTAACACAGGTGCCTGTGATAGTACTATTGTGCAGCTGCGTATGGCTATCATTTTACAAGTTTATTTTACTTTTCTAGTCCCCCAGCCCAGTTCAGCTCCAAGGTCCAAATCTTATAAATGGTGAAATTAAGGATAATTGGGCTGCCAGAAAAGCCCACTGAATGCATCCTGCAGTGCTCTGTGACACGCGAGAGAAGAAGTATAGCCTCCTGCAAGGTCCTGTGGAGAAGCAGCTCTGACGTGGCTTAAATACCTAAAACAAAACAGAAGTGTAGCCATGATGTACAAAGCATATACACATGGGTAGCATTTCACAAAGCAAGGATGAAACTGATTTCAGTTTTAGAGAGGAATTCTGAGATTGAGATGTTCAGGCTTTTATTATTACCTTTCAAAAGGAAACATGCCAACTGTACATGAAGTGTCTAAATTAGTACTAAACTACAAAGTAAATTACAGTAAGATCTAAAAACAGTTCTGAAGGAGTTTCAAAACATTTGCTATTAAAATGTTTAGTCTTTTAGTTTTGAGGACTGACTTGCTGGCCATTGTTTGGACACTTAATTCTCTTCTTGGCAATATTTTTTAAATACATACTATCATCTTGTTATTATAGTACTAGTATTTTTATATGAACTTTTTGATCGAAGCCCTAAATACCAAAGCAAATAGAGGAGAGGAAATGGAGCATACTTGTGACTTCAAAAGTACTTCAGTATCCCAAAAGTATATTGTCTCCTTCCTTCTAGGAAGAAAATGGTAAGTTTAAGGAACCTTTGAGTCCGAGTTCAAAATAATAAATAATGAGTAGAGTTTTCTGAATTGATTTCAAAAGACAGTGTAAGAGAAACATGTTTTCTTCAATCACACAGGTCCTTTTTTTAGCAACTGAAACTTTCTACCTTGCTAAAAATAGACAAACAGGCCTTTAAAAATATAGGACAATCCCAGCCAGAGAGGGACAACTTTTTCACATGGCTACCAATGCTGCTGGAACACAAGTATTTCCAGCTTCGCTTTAATGCCTGGTTTAGGAAACCACATTGTTTCTTCAGGTCTCAGGAAGTGAAGCTGCTTCTCCCACTTTAGAATTATGATTATGGCAAATGAATAAATCAGGTAACAGAATGTTTTAATAACCTGGAAACTTTTCCACTCATTCATTCAAACTTCCTGTGTGTCAAGGTGTTAACACATGAGCAATTTATTACACCTAGCATAACAAGTCAGTTTTTCATCTGTATCCATGTTTAATAAGTTTGTGTGATTAAGAAATACATGGCAAGATAAGAGACCAAGTAGAAAAAGTAGTTAAAATAAGATCTAGCTAACCTCCTAGAATTGGCTATAATTTATTTACATTGCCACATCTCAAGGTGTTAATTCAATTCTTTACTTCTAGCCCAGGCTGAAACGGGGAAAGGGAGAGAGGAAGAAAATTAGTATTTACTGAGCTACAATCTGGAATAATTTTGGTAGTGTATTTATAGCAGGATAAAATATTTGCATGTGCATCTCCAAACTGTTTATAACTTATATATACATATTATGCTAATACACTATATGCTATTATATAATTATATACATATACTAATATAGTGAATATAAAATAAATTAAATAGAAAATTTAAAGAATGAATAAAGTTACTATTTAAAAAAATTTTTTTGGAGTAAGGGTCTTCTTATGTGAAGTCTTGGCTGGCCTTGAACTCGCCATGTGGCCGAAACTCATGGCAATCCTCCTGTCTCAGCCTCCTAAGTGCTGGAATTACAGGAATACACAACCACATCCAGCTTTGAAATACAATTATTGAATACAAGTTTTAATATTTCTTCTCTACAGCCTATCTTATATATCCTCCTAGGATGCATCCCATTTTGGAGAGTACCATTATTGACTAGTCATTGCCAAACTCTCAACAGAAATTTATGCCCGTAGGATTTCAATAGGGAGTCACCAAATCTGCCACATGGTTACAATTATCTGCTTATTGCCTCTCAGAATATAATAAAATATCAACTGTTAAGATTATGATGCATAGGAAATGAGTATTGAGTCACTTAGAAGCCTAAAACTCAATCTGGTTTCACTGAGAATCACACAAATAATAAGTGATCTTTTTACACATAATTTGAGAATGAAATGTTCCACTCCAAATACAATTTCTAGTTAATTCTATCCACACACACCAACTGGTGTCGTGTCACCCTCTCCTTTCCTCAGACCCTCAAGCGACAAGCAGTGTGCGTAAACGCTAATGGCTGTTCACTCATTACGGAACCTAAGCACCACAGGCGAAAGCCAACTCTAAGAAGCCAGCTATCACGAAGACTTGGTTTTCATAGCTGTAATACAAACCACTGTGCAACTGTTTTGATTTGTCTCATTTTGGTACCGCTCGCTTCTGGGAAAGTTGAGTCATACCATCTCTGGCTTGGCAACTACAGCATAAACTGCAGTATACATACAGCTTTTTATATGTTATCCTGAGAAACCTGAAACAGCTGCACTGCTGGCAGGAAAACACAAGACCACCAGTAAAATATCCAAAACAGTTGCATCTTTTAATTTATGACTGCACTGTTTCCATAAAGAGTATATAAAACAGTTCAGCTTTTATAGGTAAAATGTAATAAACGGTCATACTCATTGAGGCCATAAATGTATTTTTAAAAGTTTATCTAAAATGATTAATTGGTGTTTGAAAATAGTATTTCTTCAACAGTCATAATGCACAGCAATGAGCAAATATTTTAAAATTTGACTTATTAATATCAACTTGTATGATTCTCACTGCCAAAATCAAGTCAATTAAAATTTCTTTGCATAGCACTGAAGCAAATGTACTTCCTTTCTAGCAATCATTTACATTAAACATGTCTGTAAATATAAGTCTTTAAGTTCTACCTACTTATATTGCTATTGGTGCACAAAAATATTACATTTAGTATTTCAAATTATTTTCACCATGGCAACTATATAATTCTCATTTTTACAAACATAGTTCATTTTTATTTAATTGTGGATTTTAATTTTTCAGGCATCTTGACTCCATGTCCTCAAACCCTATAATTACTGTGGTATGCCCAAGTATTTTTAAAGGATCTGCCACATTGAAACCACACAATGAGAATTCAGTGTTTTGCCTACTTTTCACTTTACTCCACATCTGTGTTATTTTAATTCTTTGATGACTATATAACTACATCACCGAGTAGGACTCCTCGGGTTTATGGCAAAGGTCAGTATCATTTCATGTACACCTTTACATAACAGAATGAGGAAGAAGTGTTGGCCAAATGTTTCCAAAAGTCAAGCTCAGTTGGATTTTGGAGGCCGGAGGTAATTGCTCTGACTATTTCGCCAATCCCAGGATACAATTTCTGTTTCTCATGGGTTTATTTTAAATATGTGTAAATCTTCTAAGCAGAAACCAGGAAAGAAAAAAAGAGGTTTGCTTATTTTGGTACCTATACCCTTATTTTTACTGAAAGTAGACTAAACTAAGATTTTAAAAAAAAAAAAATCATACCTTTGATTGCTTTCTTAGTAAGGCCAAAAAAGATCGTTTTCAAAAGCATGTTTAAGATAATTCTTGTACAAAGGGCATCGGATGTCCTAATTTATGCTCTAAAGCTGCCTTCCTTTGCCATTATCTATCAAAATCCCTTTCAAACATACTCCACAGATGGGAAGGAAAAGCAATGAATTCTAAGAGGAGAGTAAAAAGAATTAAGCATTAGAACAGCACACTTGAAAGTCTGTTCCTGAACTTTGATTTCCTACACTGTTGTTGTTTTGTTATATTTAGAAGCTTTTACTCCTAAAGAAGGTGGTATAATTTACACTTAACTTCAGAAAGACTTCATTTTCTCAGTTCTTTAACAAAGAGAGTGCCTCTGAGATTACTCTTTTACCATTTCCTTTGCTTTAAAAGCCCTACATTGACCATCTGGTTAAAGTCTTGCACTCAGTTCATTTTAGTGCTGTTCAACGGTGCTGTGGGTTCTCAGCTAGGGGCAGAGGGT